ATACACCCATTGCTACAGTTTTAAGATAGTATTTTTAAATGTAGACTAGGCGCAAAACTACTCTTCTACATTGAATTTTCATATCCTATTGGTAGTCTTTCCCTTTTGTAGTGTTGATGAAATTTTGGATTACAACGCTTATCGTTACCAATAACCATTTGTTTAAAGTTATTCTGTGCTATAGCAATCACACCAATAACTCTTACTTTCATATTAAAGGTAGAATTACTGCATCACTACTATTAATTGGATCGATGTGATAAAAACGGAGTATCGACCGACAACAAATGTAATAAGAAATACAATTTATAATCCAACACTATGGATAATTTAAGTCATAATCAACCTCAACTCTTGCATCAGTTAAGTATTGCACCTCACGTAATAATATCTTTGTGCTTACTATTAATCAGTATTGTAAGTTTAGTTGGAAATTTAACCTCATTATATGTAATCCGTAAAATTCTATCATTTCATACTCAACAATGGTTTCTGATATCGGTGATAATTGTCATCAATATAATCCTTGGATTATCTATACTGCCGACAACTGTCATTGCGTTCATACTCAACTATAACATATTCTCTTCATCCACATGTACATTTTTAGGATTTCTTTCTGCGTTTACTAATTTGATTCAGGCCTTTATCGTTGCTTTGACGTTAGTCCATCAAATTGCTCACTTAAATCCGACGTATCTATGTATTCGACATCGTGGTTATAAAAAATTATCCAAACCTTACTTAATTCTATGCACTATTCTGACCTTCTTTTTCGCCATGTTACCGTTACTCAACATGGCAACTATCGGACTAGGTGAATACAAGATGATTTCTTCGATACAAAATTGTTGGATTGATATCGGTGGCCCTAATAATAGGATAGTCTCGATCATATTTATATCTTGCTTTTTCTTGCCATATCTATTCTGCCTGTTCTGGTTGCTCGATCTGATATTATTATCGTTATCCAAGACGATATCGGGTGTGCAGTATCAATATCCTAGTCAAAATGGTGGCAGTAACGTTATACTACGGACAATTTCAACATTAATCATTGCTTATTTAAGTCTCAATTTGCCCAATATCGTTAAAATATCGGTTGAAAGAATATCACCAGGGAGAATATCTTCAACATTACAAATGTTATTCACTTGGTTAGGATTCTTTTTTACTACTATCACACCAATAATTATGGCTTGTAATCATTCCGAATTTACTCAAGTCTATGCTCGTCTAGGAAAATTAATCCGATCTTCAACAAGCAACAATGTAGTCCATCCAAGTGGTCGCTCCACTCCTAGGAAAACTACCATTCCTATAATTAAAATTGATAAAGTGGACAATAGTTTGTATCCTACAACAGAGGCAAAAAACATTTATAACATCAAAAAAAGCACTAATGAAGAGGCTAATCAGAAATATCTTTCTGTGGGCAAGTCATTAAGTTGCAATAAGCCTTACATGCATAAATCCGATGATATCGAATCTAAGGCTTCAGCAACTGCACGAGTTAGCGCAGTCTAATTGCAATTATAGTAATATTAGCTAGTATTTCCCGCTCATTCTAAATTAAATACTAAGGTCAGCTTTCTCTTAGTACATTAGCGTAAATCTTCTTATAATCTAAAGAAACGATAGATCTCTACAGTACAATATGGATAAGATGAAGATAAATTTCTATATCGCTATTTGCTATCACTTTGTGCTGTTAACAAGGCATTATATCAAATACCCTGCTGTTGTATTTTACCTCTTATGATGTTGCGATCCTTTTTGATATCATTGTTCACTACCAACATAATACAGTATTTTAACTGACAGATTTAAGATGATTGGATTAGCACGTGCATTATTGACATACATGACATTATTAAGTTGGTTTCTGGCTCAGGAAATACCGATATTTCGATGGAATCTGTAAGAACAGAGAATCAAATCGCAAAAAAATCTTACTAATATCATACTACCTTTTGTTACTATCATTTTTAACACGGCTTTAGCCTCTATAAATAATCTGAAATCAGATAATCTATTTCTGATAATGTACTTGTATTTTGGTTTAGGATAAATATATGCTGAAAGAGTGATACTAGAATGTAATTGCTGTTAAATCTCGAATTTTATACTTCTTAACTCGTCTATAAGACTCCAAAGTTATCCCTAATATTGCGATCATGGCTCAGCTTCGTGACATCACTATAGGTGTAATTTAGGAAGCTGTCTCTTGATATATTATCCATGAAGATGGAGTAGTAAATGAGTTACGGACTAGATAGTTCGCTATTTTATGTTAGTTTTTACGAGAGCTTATTTATTTTCAATTTCTCTTTTGTCTCTCCTATCGTATTCTACTGATACTTTCTTTAGATTGGTATTATAGAATTTAATTTCTCATAATATTATGTCCGCTGTATTAATATTATCTAAAAATTGTCTTTCGAATAAGAAGATTAATAGCAACTACTGAGGAATTAATAGAAAGAATATTATTACTAAATAAACATTAGTAAATAGTATTTCGTTAGATAAGAAATTTTACAATACTATAATAACATATCATTTAAATCTGTGTGAATTAATATTGTATATATATTTGTGGTATATCTTTGCAGTGATATTCACTTAGATTATTTAATAATTTATGGCATAGAAAGAAGGAGGCGAGAGAGAAAACCTAATTTTACAAACTTTTACTTTAAACTGCTAGGTTTCGGTTAATTACTCGTATCTATAGTTAGGATGGTTTAATAATTAAATAAATTAAAAATACGTCAAAGAATTTGAATTGCGGATAGATAGTATTCAAATATATTTGGAGTATTCTTATCGAACTTCTGACCGACACTATGGTAATGGTCACTGTCGCAAAACAACTTTCGTGATCGTATCTGAACTAGTCTATCTACTCCTATGGTTCTCTGACTAACTCCGGAGATCCTCACCAAGGGAAAACTAACTTCTTCCTATACTATAGTAATCGAGTCAAACGATAGGTTTAGATTAATAAATATATTTATTACTAGCCCGTTTATGTTAGTACCGGTGTACTCTACGTTAGCCTCTGTGGAACTGAGATTAAAAATTAATAATCAAGCTTATATACAATTTCATATGTCAGACAAACAACAGGAAGAGAGTCGCGGGCGGGGAAGCGAGCGGTAGTGTGGCGTAACCCGAGTTGCCGTGATACCCTACAAAGCCCGCGCGGCACGCGCAAACAGTAAAGAAACACTGACTAAGAGAACAGGAGTGAGTGGATAGATCAATGGGTTAGTTGATAAGTACATGGCCCGGTGCTAATCTTTCACCTTAAATTATATAATGTGCAATACAGGCTTGCTATAGACTATAGTGCAATCTAGTAATAACAACGTTAAATTATTACACATAGATTACAAAATATTAATTATACTTAATTTATAGTATTTTAGTCGTAGTGCTTTGTGAAATCTAAGAGCGATTGACAGATCAGACTATTTAAGTTACTACCGTAAGAACGACCTAAATATTGCGATAGATGTTTCAATAACGATAAATTGGTATACTTTTTGTATCTGAATTGCAGATACTATAATCACCTCACAGATGCAGCCGATCTCTTCTTCTACAAGGCCTGATTTATGTGATAAAGAAGAATAAACAAGAACTTGACCTTCTATTTAAGTTACTTTTAACCACTTTATTCATAGATCTAATTACATAAATACGTGTTAGACTTGATTGTAATGATATCGTCTAAAGTAAGTTAAACCATAATATCCATATCTATTGATGAGAGCATTGCGATTTGTTTATGGGTAATAATAGTTAGAATACCTTAATTTACATTTTATATATATGATGAATTTTATGCTGAAAATTGTATCAGGATTGAACGCCTTTGCAAACAATATTAATATAAATAGGGCACAACTTCAATAAATGATTGATTATAATTCACAGTATCAGGTATTGCTATTCTTTAGTTTGCTGCATTTCATTAGGCATGCTTCTAACGTTATTATTGGCCTTGCAAAGTAAGTATTGAAAGTATTTTTGGGATAAGATGATTAGCTCATTCGTAGTTTAAAAATAGTACAGCATTCGCGATAGGAAATCATGTAATTAGAGTAATAGCTCAGATGTATTTTATTATTCGATAGATCTCTTTAAATAATTCATAAGAGAATCAGCCGGGACTGTTGTAATGTGTTGTGATTCGAGGCTCTTTAGGAGGTAATTTCTCCTGATTAACGGCATACATCTCGTAGCTTAGTTTGTTTACTATTGCAGCTAGATGACAAATTATGTATTATTGCAACGGTGTCTTCCGTAGAAGTAGAGTTGTATAGTTATAGTGCGATACATCTATTAATATGAATAGGTATCATATCATATTCATTTATAAAAGTCTCAATAATGTGTTTAGAAGGCGCAACAGTTAGGCTCTTTGCATTGCCTATTTACGGAGCATTCCGAGGATAGTTTAATACTAAACATAGTAATAAAGATGCAAAAGAGAAGGCAGATACAAGAAAGTATTAACTCAGAACTAATTATGTCAGTAAAACTATTATTCAATTTCTGAACATATAAGCTCTTGTTACTTTTTAGCTTTAAAAGTTCGAAATAAAGCATTTAAAAAGCGATTCGTTATATTGTAATGAAATGGTAGTGTAATTATTTCATTGCATGTACGAATATAAGCTAAATTCAATCGTAGCATTATTTTATGATTATTTTGGGTACGCTATAATTAAACATATAAAGATCAGACGCCTGTTCGAAACACTTGTTCCGTAGCGATAGAAAAACACATCTTGAACCTATCATTTTCAATAGCAAACGTTCTGTCGTTGCTGTAGTTGAATGGTAATGGGTACGTCAATGCCAGTTACCATGATAAGCTAGAAGCAAAATTTTATATAACTACCGGTAAATATCTATCGGTTAAGTTTGATTATTTATAAGCCGAACCCGTATTTTACTTGTATAGACGCACGGCACATACGAATATATTACACTTTATCAGTCCTTTCTTGGCCAGTTTCTTGATAAAATTGGTTTAAGGTGTTAACATTTTCTAATAGTAAATCTGTATACTTCCTGAGATCTTCAAGTGTTTCTGATTCACTACGATCTTTTCCTAATGCTTTTATGAAGTTTTTTCTATAAGGTGAAGCTTTAACAGCCAACTTTAGCATGATGAGGAAAAATATAAAGTTAGTTAGCTAGTATGGTATTGATATAAAACTTTCCCATTCATTCACGCAGTACATTATAAAATGGATAACTTTTATAACACATTCTATTTGCAACGAAATCGTACGATACCTATTCAATAATATGCAGTACAACAAATACGACGTAAAATATCGGCAAAGTGTAGCAAAGCTTACCGAAAAGATTCCTTTGACTATGAAACCGTGATATCGTCGAAGAGTTTGTTCGTAAGCTGTAGAAGCACAAACAGATACTTCGTCTGTAGTTTTAACTAATAAATCTAGCAAAACTGCAATAAAATTCAAAGCCCTAAAAAACATAAAGTAAAGGAGAATATTGTAAGCTAGGTAAAAGAGTGAAGAAAAAATAATAATATATATAAAATTCTTATTTTAAGGTGAAAAGATTAGAAATCCGTTCAAGATGAGGCGACCTTTTAAGCCATAGTAGAGCATCGGTAGCAGAATTTTTGACACCGGTAGTTTTTTCTGCAATCTCGCTACGTACAATTTCTTGTAGTGTGTGATACTTTTCTCTATTTTGCTCGAATTTCTTGGTCAGCTTCTGTATTGGGGATTAAGTACGTTAATAATAATCCAATAATATCAGCTACATGATTACTTGTACACCACGCGATAAAATCTTAGTACGGAATTAAGCCATGAGTAGTGACTCAGATATACAGTAATGTTGTTCTTTCGTCTCGTTACGCAAGTTGCTATTCAATTTCATCATCAATCAGCCTATTTCGACTTGTTCATAGCAAGTATAAGCTATCCGCCTCGCACGTGTATTGTTCGCGCAAGATTGTGATTTAGTAACTACGTTTACATCTAACTGTAGCTTAGTACTATGATAGCTAATAGATTTGTAGGCTTAAAAGGAACTATGTAAGATATACTTGTATAGCAGCTGATAACAGTTCTGTTACGGTTCTTTCGTAAAGAACATCTTCTTGTAACTTACAGAGATATTGCCATTAATATCCATTTTAACAACGGAAAATGCCGATCCGAAAACCTCTAGAATGAAATTAGATTATCAATTTATTCAGCGATGTCTACATGAAGGAGGAAAACTAGTAATACATTGAGTTAGAAGATTGCATAGTTATTTTACTGCTGCTACACTGGTTACGATACTATGCAGCCATTATACTGTAAAAGTTGCTAAAACATTCTAACGGAGTAATGTTATATATAACGACGTCCTTTAAGATTCCAGGAGTTTATTTAACATTCAGACCAAATTTGAGCTGCTTACAATAAAAAGATTTTAGTAAAAGATATTGGCATAGGTTCAAATCTGAAATGTTAGGCCAAAGGAAGAAATTTTTGGTGGATGATTAAGATAAGCTTAAAATTGTATTTGCTGAATTATATTTGTTTTTGCTTACAAAGCTTCCAGTACAAGCATCACCTATTTGTATGCCAAGTCATAACGTATTAAATGAGGCGACGATGCTATAGTTAGTAATGAAACTTGAACGGTTTTATCCGTAAGAAAGTGAAAAATATCGGTATAAGTGTTTGGATTTATCTTCTAGGCTATTACTCTTTATACAACACGATGGCCACTTTGTTTCAGAGAATGATAATTAATTAATATTAAAACAGTAATGTTTAGAGCCTCAATTCCCAGCATTATTTTTAATAATGAAAAGATTGGAAGATAAATCTGTCAAACTGTTAGTATAATACTGCATTTTTTTATTTAACAATGCTGACTTCTGTAAATGGATGATGGTCAATTTATTAATTTACAGTTGATTTTAATCCATAGCTCTCAATGACTAAATGACGATCAGGCTGGCCATAGTAATGCGATCATTTATTCTAAACTATAAGCTACTTCTATCCATTGCTGTCAATGACAAGAGCAAATTATGACCAATCAGAATACTTGTTGTCACAGGAATACGATCATTTATTTTAAAATTAGCGATTTCAATCCATTGCTCTTAATGATGAGAACAAACGATGATCGATCAGCAGACTTGTTGTCACAGCAATACGATTATTGTAAAATTAGTGCTTTCTATCGATTGCTCTCCATGACGAGAACAAAATAGGATCTCTTGGCAGACTTAGTGTTACAGGAATACCATCACTTACCACTCCATTAACTATTTCTATCTATTACTCTCAGTGCAAAGAACAAGTGATGATCAATTAATAGACTTGTTGTTACAGGAACACAATCATGGGCGTATAATAACATTAGCGATTTGCATTCATTGCTATCTATGACGAGAACAAGTGATGATCAATCAGCAGACTTGTTCTCGGAAAACACAATCACTTATTGGTCATTACACATCAAGTTAGCGGTATCAATCCTTTGCAATCTCAGAGGAGAGCAAATGTTTATGTATCAACAGACTTGTTGTCACAGGAATACCATCATTAATGATAAAATGAGTATTATTGTGGTTAAGATAGAATAATCAATTCTCTTTTCAGCAGAGAATCTCTAACGGAAAGTTGAACAATATGTTTACGCCGACATTAGATCAAAATGCAAAACAAAGCATCATCTACTTGGTGTTCTATCAACTTACCGAAAATTGTGGTTAAATCGCGACAAGCATCGAGGAAAGCTTCAGTTTTAATCTCTTTATCTTCACTAGTGGATTGAAAAGTATCGATTGCCAACTTTCGCCATGATTGATAGATTCAGAAAATGCAATGCTTGGAGGAGCTGATGATGAAGTTTCTAATCAGAGTGTTAAAAGACGATGATTGGAGGTGCAATCGTCCAGCCAGTAGTTTGACGTTGATAACCATGAAAAGAAATAGTGCAAATAGTATGAAACTGGAAAACGAAATGGAGCAGTGACCAGCTTGTCATTCCTTCATCCCCTGTGCTGTACCGTACCGCTACTGACGTACAGTACAGTGTACAGTACGTACTCAGGCACAGTGCATTGTACCGTGAATTACTACAGTACTTACATTGTACTGGAAGGACGGGAGGTATGGACTACCGGAAGAGTCGTCTCTGATGATATTTACCTAGATACTAGATAAAATTTAAGCGCATCGCGATGATTTAATTGAATTGATTGATTTACTTATATAGTACTGTAGTGTCTCGGATATCCATATCCTTAATTTAGGATCGAGATCGTCTCCCCTGCAGAAGGAAATTTGCATCCAGCACCCGCTTGAGTGAACATTCCATTTCCTTTTCCACGATAATTGGTTGATTAATTGGTTGCAGTATCGTCATTTTTCGTACGTGATTTATGCACAAACGGCTTAATCATTTTTCCATTGACGATCTTGATGAGGTGCGAAAGTCGTCTTAGCTAGTTGATTGCCAATGGCGAAATTACGTGTTGGCATGATTGATGGACTCAATCAATCGGTTATTGATGCTTGCCATAAAATTTCCGTCTCGACAGGTTATTCAACGGTTGTAATATTGATTGGCTTGTAGCCAATTTTAGATTGATTGGATATGTTTCAGTTATTTACAGCATGACTCTACCCAGGTATTGCTGGATACTATAACTCAATCTTGGAATGAATCAATTGCATGCTCAATAAATTTTTGCTGTTGATCTAGTCAAAGAGTTAACATTGGTAGAGTGTACTGTATGACGTAGATCATTGATTACTATTTCAGCAAATGCATGATGAGCTGGCACTTTTTGATGATAAAGTTTGCCGTCCTTCGTTAATAACAGTTATCTCCAATGAATGCAAATGTGTAGGCTGGAAAGCAGCTTATTGATATTGGATGACACTTTATTCAGTAATGGTGCTTTATATTTTACCACTAGTAACTGACTTTATTTCTGCCAAAGTTGAGGTCATTGCAAGACAGGCATCTATTTCTATCACGGTAAATATAAAGATCTATTCAATTCTTAAGATTGACTGGTTCGTAACTACAACATCGTTCACGATTGCTAGCTACAATAAACTACTTGTATCATAGGAGGTTTCTTCAATGAGACGAAAATTACTCTCAAAGTATGCTTTAATGCCAATCAACGGAAGTCATTTGTATCAGATGCTCATTGATAAAATGGCCGTTATAACTACTGGTATATGTTCTACCAGATACAGTAGTTGTGAATTGTGTAACGCATTTTGATTAGCTTGCTTATTGATGATTTTTATGCGATTCCTTTTGTAGGCTGCCAGCAGTGAGTATAAGAAGCCTGAAGATTTTTAAGTGCAAACGTAGAATACCTACTACTAGACAGATTTGACAGGTATCAATAATGCTACATTCTTAATTCAACTTTGTAGTTTAGATCATTTACTGGATGGAGGATTATACACTGGTGAAGTCGTCGAGTTTATTGGCAAGTCTGGTAGCGGAAAGTCACAGGTGTAGAAACATCATCAATGTGCTTTGTGCGCATATGATTACTATGAAGAGTCGTAATTAATTGCTCGAAATTGTAATGACCTCTTACAAGTGCTTAAACTATGTACAGTATTCAATTTGCGAGCAATCTTTGCTACCTAGCTAAGTAGCTATTCGCTATTAAAGTTGTATCGGTACTAAATTTACATATATAAAGTTTGATCAGATCGATTTACTAGAATGTGTAGCTATTACAATAATATTACAATAACGTTAAGTGTTGTAATTTTGGGACAGATTTGCATGCATATAGCTGGATTTAGTGCATCAACGACGTCAAATGGGACAATTTATATTGATACATGTGGCTCAATACAACCTAGTCGAATAAATGAAATTGTTAAAGAACATTTTTCTCATAATTCAATGGTAAAATCACTCGTAACTAATTAATTTTAATTCGCACCAGGATAAAATTAATGACATAAAAACATTTTTAGGAAAATCATGACGCGTTATCTAGACTTCTCTGTGTTAGAGTGCACGATATCTTTGAGTTAATATCCACGCTGCAGGGGTTACAAGAGAAATTAAATTTTGAAGTAAGCATGTTCTTTTTTGCCATCATTATGTATGCTCGCGACAAAAATTTAACAGAGAAAATTTCATGCTTTACCTAGTGTTCAGGCATTTATGGCAAACTTCGGTTACTAATAATTGATTCAATAGCTTCGGTAATTACACCGGTACTAACGATACCCAATAATCATGGTAAATTGTCATTCGTTTTTAGGATGCCTTGATACATTTTGCTATTTTTAATAGTTTATGATATCTTGATTTAGGGCACTCACTTATGACCTCATTAGCGAGAATTTTACGAGTGTTAGCTGTTGAATGCGGAATTTGTGTTTTGGTAGCTTTCCTAGCTAATGTTCATAAAAAATACATACTCTTATAATAATGAAGAATAGTATCTTATATTACTAATTATATAATTACTATATGTGACAACGAATTTATGATAGGTGACCAATTTTACTGTTACTGGCGGTAATGCAGCACTCGGTCGAACGTGGTCTTCCGTTCCTGATGTTAGGGTATCTATTCGTACTATTGAATCTTTCAAGACTACAAAGGGTAATGAACGGATTGCTACCCTCGTTAAGTCTAGTAGACAGGTACTGCTGGGATCGTAATTTTATGAAATGCTATTTAAATCGAACTACTAGCTCGCAACATCTAATTATTAATAATGATTATTATTTTTAGCCAACACAAATATCAACCAATTTCTATATTGGAGATGGTGGTTTATTATCCACTGCGCCGTGTAGCAGTAAATCACTTCTGAAGTAACTGTGAATATAGTACCAGATACTATTATAGGCTTGGTAAATTTGATGGATATTTTGATGACGTGGCTGGAATAAGTGATGTAATTAATTGGTTCAATGTGGCTAGCATCATAGGATATTAATTAAAAAGTTACATGTATATAGTGGAGATTTTAATACGGAGGTTGCTGATTATCACTCCTAAATCATACGAATCAGCATCGACGATACTGATATATACAGTACAGTGTTATCATAAATGACTCTATTCAATTTTTTGAGTATAGTGTATAATGACATAAATATGTATTCAGCTTCAATATTAATTAA